CATTTTATTTTCATATTCTTGTACTTCTAAATGTCCGAATAATGTTTGATTTTATGTATAAATCAATAAAGGTGGTGTAAATCAATTAGCTGTCAGAAATGCAAGCAGAGTCACATAGTTTAAATGAATTAAACAATATTTACCGGACAAACACGCACGCAGCCCCACAAGCGCCGCCATCTTTCCTGGCTTGACAAACCAAAGACGATCGGAATTCAAGAAAATAATCCCCCAGCCCCAACGATGTCGTTCCTTTACGTACATGCACATGCCCATGTTTAAGCAAAACAGTAACTATTAATATAACTACTACTAATACTACTATTGTATGTTATTATATTAGACTAAGCAAAAGACTAAAACCCATTTAAAGAAAGTATGAGTTATGTAGCTATTATGATAAAAATACGAGAGCAATCCCAAGTAGCCTGAACTTAATGTTTGTTAATAATATGTTTTCTGATATCTAAAAGGCAAATATTATTTTTTACATTCATTATTAAGGTGTGTGTATTTTATAACAGATACATAAATAATACCAAACATATCGCAATCGATATGCCTTTCATAGTTTCTTCTGACACGTTTCTTCTGGGATTTGCATATATTTATTTTGATGTAATTAATTCTCTTTGTAAATTGTGCGTACCAGCGTTACTGGATTACCGTAACTATACTAGTATAAGAAAAATTGGGTCTATGAATTTTTAAATATTGAGGTAATACTGTCAGTCAGATGTTCAGCATTATAATTTTGAAAGGCTGATTTTAAAGCAAAAAAATGGAAAGTCTAAAATGACGTTGATTTGATAGCAAAGAGTATCCAAAAATTACTTTGCTTGCCCATTTGGTTTACTTTTTACGGTAAAACATGGCGCCCCCCTTGCCACTCGTGAGATGAAGAGCTAGCTAGAACGTTCCAGCACTTTCACGTTTCTGTGTTTATAGAGGGAGAGAGCTGTATCTGAGCTCAGAGAGAAACTTTGTGTGTTACCTTTACGTTGTTTTGGAGTCGGTTTAAAGGTAAGTGGGCAATAATAACCGTTGTTATAAGAGGCTAGCAGCAGGTTTTGCATTATTAGCAGAGCTGTATGTTTGTAGTAAAGTATGATCCTGGTATATAAACTGTGGGGCTTTACCTGGTACCACTGCTAGTACTCTTAAATTAATTTGAGGTTATTTTGAAATCTTCCTTTAGTTGTCTTGTTGATTTTTTTTTTTTCTTTTCTCCACTTTCCCCACCCTTTAGCTGTTAACACCATGTCAGAAGACAGGCAGACCAGGAGACATCCCCAGAACCTCCAAGGGGTCCTTCAGCTCGCAGTGGAGGCTGGATCCGCTGCAGAGGGTCCTGCCCCTCCTGAACCCATGTCAGAAGAGGTACATACTTGTTCCCTAAGCAGGATCAGGCCAGATGACCACACAAACCGTTGGGTGTCGACTTTGTAGCTCACACCAGGACACACAAGCTTGAAGTATAGCTTCATAATGTGGCTTTGACAGAACTGAGGCTTAAATAAGTAGAATGAGCAACTAGTCAACTAAAAGCCTCATTTGCATGGGGATATAATAATAACATAGTAGAGTAGGTCCAAAAATGATAGCAACAACAATAATAAATGCTTTTGTTTTTACAGTAGCATCTAGTAACATGTGTTGCTCCGCTTTGCAAAACATCCCACCATAAACTATTGATATATCACATTTTCATAGTTTTCAGAGTGCTTTGAGAGACAAAAGTATAATACTGCATTCAAACAGAAAGCCGGACATTGTGGCCAGAAATGAACAGGACAAAACTGGATCACAGAAAACTTTTAATTTAAGTAGTGAACAAGGTATAGAAATTATATCAATCAGAACTGCTGGCAGCCCCCCACCCCACTCAGTCCTCAGTATTTTGGTAGGAAGGGGATATCTTTGACAACACTTTTAAATTTGATAAGTAAATAAATGGCATTACCATCAATGATGTTCTCTCTTAGCTTGATCTATCACAAATGTTTTTATTCAGTTGTCAGCCAATAACTGATACTACTTTGGGGCTTGATATCTTAAACCTACAGTGCTATGTATACTGCTAATTTGCTGTAGATAGTTTTTCAGGCATGCTTCTTCTTCTTGTGTCCTCCCTTTGTGCAGTTTCCTCAAATTCAGGAAACCTTGCACACCATGCAGCTCTCTGGGAATGACCATGTTGGCCCTAAAACACTGTTTCAAACTATTCAGTCTTTGACATTTTTTTTTTATTTCAATCAAAGAAATTGTAACAATGTTTAAAGATAAAATGTTAAACTGTTTTTTGCTAAGTTTTCTGTTTTGCGTAGACACAGCAATGGCCTTGTCTCTTAAGTTTGATGCCTTTTTTGTGCTTGAATGTCAAGTGGTTCAACAGACAAACAAAGAAGCATTCTTCTAACAATGGTCAGGTAGAAGGACTGGACTGAAAGTCAGTTTTTAAAAAAAGAAGCCAATGTTGAAAGAAAAACTTTGAAAGACCTTTGGAAATCCTGGAGAGTTATTGCTCGACTATTGCTTAAAAATTCAAAGAAAGTCTTTCTTGGAAGTCAAATATAAAGAAATGAGGAGTGACTCAAGACTTCTGTACAGTAATATATAATTGCACATCACTTGAAATCTCATGTGTCTGAGTAAGACACTGATGTCCACATCCTTTATTTTTTTTCTTAATGCGTGTTTGGAGGTATCACATCAGAGAATTTGAATTCAGCATGACAAACTGCTTCAGGCTCTTTTTTTGTGCCTTTCTTCCAGAGGAAAACATGGCTGAGAGAAGCTCTTACAGAACTGTGCAAAGGGCAGATGGATGAAGTGGAGCAGATGAAGCAGTGCTTGGCTGTTCTGTGCAAAGAAGGAAGTGAAAGGGAGAGGGGTGGAGAGGAAGAGAGGGAAGACGATGATGAGGACGATGAGCGGGAAACGGCCTTTGAGATGCTGTCCGAGCTGTGTGAGAATCTGGACAATGCCAGAGGTAATAAATGGTATTAGAGCAGAGGGCACGCTAAAGACAGCATGTGTTCACTGTACGCTCACTGCATCCTGTCCTCTGCAGACCTGATGACCCTTGGTGGGCTGGAGTTGTGCGTCTCCCAGTATCTTAATCATGCCCAAAGTGGGTTGAGGTGGCGTGCTGCCCAGCTCATTGCCTCCTGTGCCCAGAACATGCCACAGCTGCAGTTCCACTTGCTTAGCATCGGGGCGCTGCCGAAGCTGCTGCAGCTGACAGATTCTGACCCAAACCCCACCGTCAGGGTGAAAGCTCTTTACGCTGTCTCATGTGAGTAGAGCCATAACACACGCATGCTTCAAAACTGAGCTTCATGACAACAAGTCTGCAACCAATTGCTGCACATCAGTCATTTCACATACATGATCCAGAACCTCGGATTGTCCATGTGACAGTCTGCGAATTTTAGTGCGGTCAACAGTTGGTTCCCATAGTTGATGTTTTAGATGGACAGGCAATTCAACAGCTATTTTTAGCGGCCAGCCTCCCAACTGTATCACCCGTGTTTATGATATTGTTATATCTCATGTTTCCTCTCAATTCAACTTTAAGCCTAAATTATCTGTTGCATTCTTCTTTAGTGCCAAATGACACATGGCACCGTCTTTTTGTCCCAGCTCTGTGCTTCACAACACTCAACAAAACTGTGTCCTGTCGTAATCATAGGTCTGGTTCGAGAGCAGGAGGCAGGTCTCCAGGCCTTCCTGTCCCACGATGGATTCTCAGTGCTGATGCGAGGCATGCAGTCAGAGAACGAGAAGCTCAGAACCAAGTCGGCTTTCCTGTTGCTCAATCTGCTGATGTCACATCCCGAACAGAAAGGTATGGATGGGAAGGACATTCAGACAGGATAGCGCTGTAAACCTGCACCAGTACCAGTAGGTTTACTTTGACAATACAACACTTTGTAGCCTTTTATTAAGACACAACATGGTTTAATAATGTCTCTAAAAGCTTATAGAGACACCTTTTCTGTGGAAAATGAATATGTTTTATTTGCAGCTTTGCTCTTCCTCCATGATTAGTCGTCAATATGGCAAGTTCTGCAGTTAAAGGGTAAAATAACATAAAAAGTTTTTAAACGATTTTTTTAACAATTAAATTTTGTGTTAAAACTTTTATACTTTCTCCTTTTTAGTTTTTTCCTTGCAGTATGTGTGTTTCTCACTGATCTTGCTACCTTTGTCTAAAAACTATTTTATTCTTAACTACACATACATAGTAGACCATAACAAGAAGAACCACAGCAGATTTTTTACTTTGGATATTTAATTGGTTTACTCTTTAAACATCTATCTAAAGTTTTTGCAAGCTTTCCTTAAAACATGACTTGATATACATAAACTCAGGTATATTCCTGATTATTTCCCCCCCGCAGACACACTTGTCGCCATGGGTATGGTACAGCAGCTGGTATCAGTTCTCCGTACACCGCATTCACCAGTCCATGAACATGTGCTTGGTGCCCTTTGCTGGTAAGAAACATTCATTATGATACTGAAAATCTGACATTATTTCATGGATGGTATTAGTAACTGTACCCGTCCTTGTTTTCTGATGGTGGTGTAGTCTGGTCGAAGACTTTCCACAAGGGCTCAATGACTGCAGGAATCCTGCTCTGGGCCTGGAGGAATTACTCAGACAGAGATCCAAAGAGCTCCAAGGCAAAGAAGAAAGTCAGGTAATTCATGTGCCTGAGAATCAGATCATAAAACTGGATAGAAATGTTGCGATTATGCTACAAAATTTCATTTCAGTCATGAAATGTGTTTTTCCATGTAAAACTAGAGGGGATTGTGGTTAAATGCTAACTAGTTGTAAACAATAATAGATATATAACTGATTTCTTATTTTTTTAAGTTTAAAAGACTGAAAATTTAAAAAAAAAAAAAAAGCTGAATCTTGCATTTCTGCCTCTTAAAGTCACATGTTTGTTTCCAACAGGAAGAACTTGATTTCTGTGAGCGACTCAGGGTTATGTGTTTCTCCAGGCAGCAGTCAGATGACACTGGGATGGATCGTTGATTTTCTTTTTTTTTTCTTTGCTTGTTGTTGTGTTTTTTACCCTGACATGTTTTGGCATCAGTATGAAAAGATAACAGAACATTGATGAGCTGGGACATGTTTTTTGTTGTTGTTGTTGTTGTTGTTGTTTGGTCTGTTAAGACAGTTGCACGTGATCCAGTACCTGGATTTCACTGTGTAAATAATTGTACTGTATATTGTAATGTATAAAACAACTATTTCAGTCCAATGTTTGCCATTCTTAATATCTTAACTGTCATCCCAAGCATCTCCATTAAAGGTAGTATGTATAGTACTCTATTTTAATTGGCAGAACACAAATGCTGACTTTAGTTAAATCTATTTTATTTTATTATAGTATGCTTTAGTTTTTCAGTTCCTGTCTCTTTTCAGTTTTTCTTGAAACAAAACTCCCAGTTGTTGACATAATATTTATTACTGTTAATAAAACATGGGATTACGTGTATAAACATACAGTATAATGAGCAGTTCACATCATGCCACCATATGCACAATCTACATGTAAACATGGATGTCAAAGAAAATATTTTGATCATTAAATCACAGAATATAAATATTATAAACTGAAGTTTACTGAATGTTTTTCCATTTCATTTGGAAATAAATTCTTTCATTTTTAGAACATTGCAAATTGAATGTATTTCCCTTTCTTTGTTTCTTTTTTTTTTTTTTTAACCACTTGCAGCAAATATTTATGGAAATGGAGAGCTAATGTAGTACAAGCTTTTGGAGTACAACAGGGATACTGGTTAGGACCTCTTCCACTTTGAAAACTCATCCGTGTCCTCTACTGCTTGCATGTCACCCACAGCGATTAGAAGCTGTGCCAGATAATAGGTCACCATTACAACAGTAGTACCGTGCTGCATTGGTGCCACCACCTTAAAAACTTGCAGAGACAGCGTTGCGTCAGATACCATGAAGCTCAGACTTCCCAAAAGTGTTGCTATGTTGCCAGTTCTAGCTGCTAATAGACCCATTAGAGTAATTAAGACAAAGTAGACTCCAACAGCTGGAGTTAGCACTTCAGAGTTTGGGTCCTTTTGCAGAAATGGAAATAGAAATGTGTAATAACCTCCTCCAACCATAAACAGGATCAGATAGAGAAAACGGCTCCAGCAGGAAGAGGAGTTTTTTGTGTAACGACTGGACAGGAAGGAAACTGAGTACAACAGATGAGCCACAGCAAATGCACCCATTCCTGAAACAGATATTGAGGACATAATGGGCATGTGATTTGCAATTTATGAATCCTGGAGTGTTAAATTTACTCTCTGAAAGTAACTATTACAAATACTTCGTACAATAATGAGGCATGTGCAAGCAATAGACCTTTCATAAAAGAAAAAAAATGCTCAATTTTTTTGAACTCATCCACCACCAGCGCTTACCATGCAGGAAAAGCTCAGGCCACACCAGGCAGCAGTCACCAACAGCAGAGAAGACCAGTCCTCCCACCACACCTAGGACACTCTGACCTCCATTCCAGCTCAGCACCACTGCAGCCAATATGAGTACTGGTGCAGATTTGACACCTGCAAACATGATGGACGGGGGCGAAGCAGGAGTCCAAAGGTAGAAGTACAGAGCTGCAGACAAAAAGAAAGGCAAGAGAGACAGAAAGAGAGCACAGGACTGATAGAAATGGACAAAAAGAAAGAAAAGGGAGAGATGCATCAAGTTTTTGTACAGAAGTAGATTCGAGTTATGATTTCAAACATCTCCTTTCCACCTGGTTTCACTAAGCAAAGTGCTGCTAGAAATAAAGAAATACTGGCTGTAAATAGAGGTGAACTGTACCTTATTTCTCCTCTGCCGCCTGTGATAGGCGTGAGTCTCAAGGATGTCCATCTTCTCTCAAACAGCACTGCTGAGACTTCTCAGAAGGATAAAAGTGTCCTGACTCCTTTGTTTCTTCTGTCTTTACTGTCTTGTTTGCCAGCGATCCTCAGCTCCAACGATCCTCAGCTCCTGTACCCCTCGCCTTGAACCTCTGTCGTGTCTTTCAATCTGCCTGCGTTTCATGTCGATGAACTTTAGACCGATCCTCACGGTCTGATTGCGCTCTGATAATCAATTCGCTCCCTGTTTTGAGTTCTGCTGGTCAAATTGCTCACCCTTGACCTCACCAGCAGGATTACGTTGGTGACATCAGCACAGAAGGAGCAAAGTTGAACTGTGCAGGTGTAATCACTGTGAAATGTAAACGTTAATATCAGGAAACTGACTAAACCTGATGATTGTTGTTGTTGAGACTTTTTATGTCTCAATGTTTCATAAAACAAATGTGTAAAATTTTACAGGAAAGGATTGGATTCTTTGATAAACAGCTGTAAATTTGTTATAACAATACTGGGTTTTTTTTTTGTGGCAACTATTCCAAGAAATGTGGATGGTTATGAAAAACACGCTATGCCAAAGCCCCATCCAGTTTCCAGTGCTTCACATTTAAAGTAAAGGAAAGGGCTCGTTTGCTCATAAATACTGATGAATATGACACATTTCTTTTGTTTGTGATCAAAGAAAGTATGAAACACATTCTAACATAGAAGAAGAATAAAATGCTTTGTATGTTGAATGATGTTCAGTGCTCGTCTTGACTGGATTTTGTTTCGAAAATTTCAAACAATTACATTTTTTGTACATAATATTTCTGAAGCTGAGATTTAAGTTCAAGCAGATGGAGGAGGAGCCCTGCGTGTAATAATTTCACAGAACTGCAACAATGATTAACTACAGGCTACTCTGAGTCAAACTTTGTGCTTTGCCTGAACACAGTTCTTGCAGCTCTGGGCTGGTTATTGAAATTCAAGGTGTGGGACAACGCTGGAGGGGGAGTAAGTTTACTGGGTGTATAGAGTAATAAATGCAGTAACTGTGCAAGAAGGGGTTGATATCAGGTAGGGCTTAAGGTCAATATAGACATGTATATGTGTGCATGTGTATTGGTTTGCTTTGCGACTGCACTCTGGGCTTTTATCTGCTTTGTTTGCTTCCTTTGTACAGCTATGGCGACCGATTCTTCCTCTTTAAGGATTGGAGTCGTAGGATTTGGACATCTAGGTCGGAATTCCCCTTTTAAATCCCAGGCAAACACTCTTTAAATTGCTGTATATTATTTCCTGACAGCATGTGCATGTGTGTGTGCAATTTAGGTCAGTACCTAGTGGAGAGGATCCATAAAGATGGACCTGCCCTCGGTTTGACTCTGGGTTTTGTCTGGAACAGGAATTCTGGCAAGCTCAGTGGTTTAGTCCCCTCTGAACTCATACTCGGGGATCTATCGTCCTTTGCAGAAAGGTGCAAACACGTGCATAAGCATTAAAAACCCACGTGCACACAGCATGATTGTTCTGTGCACACGTGTTTTTATGTATTAAATCAGGAACGCTATAAACATGTGCTGTATTTATCTTCGGGAATTTCCCTTCTGAACTTTGAGGAATAATCATTGTGTGTTTTGCAGGCGATGCGATGTGATCATTGAGGTGTGCCATCCTCAAATAGTTAAAGAATTTGGGGTCCAATTTCTGTCTCAGTCTCATTTCATGGTGAGCTACTTCTGATTTTGCTATTTCAGTGAAACAGCTGGTACATTTCTTTGTTGTTTTTTTTATAGATTCTTCCAGTGTTATATTTTATTTATAGTACTTGATAGATTTTATTTTAATTGACTGATACAGTTTGATTTAAATCTGTCGTTTTTATGATTTCATACCATTAAATCATTATCAGGCTGAACCACTGATACGAGGCAGAATGGGTCCATCTTTTCATGATGTTTACAACAAAATTGGACCCTACCATCTGAATGTCCCAGCAGAAATCAAACCTCATCTGACCAGGCAGCATCTTCTTTTGACTAATTTTGTTGAATATGTTCAAACTGTGGCCTCAGTTTCCTGTTCTTAGTTGACAGGATGTGGTCTTCCGCAGCTGTAGCCTGTCTGCTTCAAAGCTTCTGCATATCTTGGTTTTAACGAGAGGTCAGTTGAGGTACTGTTGCCTTAAGGTACTGTGAGCGTACATAAAATGGACAGAATATCATGTCATTCAACTGTAAACAATCACCATCTTGGTCCAGCTGAAGGTTCTTAAATGTTCTCCTCCTTGGAGAAAAGTCCTGCACTGTCCTCTTCACTGACCCCTCAAAAGTATTTGACTGTTAAGCACAACTAGCACAAACTACTCATTCCTCACATAGAGAAACAAACTGTTAATGTTAATCATAACTTTTACTCAACCATCAGAATAGGATGGCAGAGAGAGCATCTGGCTATTTAAATTGGCTATTTGTTTTGCAAATAAGGAAAATGTTCATTTCTATACTTCAATGTTCACTTTTTTGCAGACAATAGTCTTTCATATGCTTCAGGATTAACCCCAGCAAAGTCTTACTTCACCCCCATCTGTTTTTGATACTTTCCAATTAACACTTCTCAGTCACAGACTGGTTTTAAATGCATAAAAGACCAAGCACATGGTATCTCCACTGCAGCTGTGACTATGAAGCATTCTGCAAATCACATTTTAAATATATCTCCACATTAACGTTTGCAGAATCTCACATGTACACGGGCGTTTGGTTTGATAGCATTTGCTTTGTAGATTTAAATTCAATAACAGGTTCAAAATTCAGTGTCGACAGACGGTCATCCTAACCCACAAACACTTGAGAAGTCAACGACACTTCATCATTTGTTGTGCACCTTTGTTTTTTCCTCCTCTAGGTGGGCTCTCCATCTGCCCTCACTGATCCTGATCTGAACCAGAAGTTGAGTCAGGCTGCTCAGAAGTATGGCAGGACTCTCTATGTCCCCAGTGGTGCATTATGGGGAGGCCAGGACATCCAGAGGCTGAATGACAGTGGGAAAATAAAGGTAAAACAAGGATAGTCCACAGTGTTTAAAACCATGGAAATTAACATATAAGTGATTTAATGTTGCTTTTTCCTTTCATGGTTTATTTTTAGGCTTTGTTCATCAGAATGTCCAAGCATCCCTCCTGCTTTCGGCTGACAGGAGACGTCCTCACTGACTGGACGGAGGGAGAAGGCAGGCGTGTTTTGTTCAGAGGCTCCGTTGCAGAGTTGTGCCCACTCGCTCCTAACAATGTGAACACCATGGCGGCAGCAGCAGTGGCAGCAGGGACACTGGGCTTCACTGGTGTCCAGGGAGAGATTGTGTCAGACACAGCGTGAGTGCTTTTAAAAGTTGGATTGTTTGTTTGAAACCTTTTACATCCTGCCTGCATCTTCCAGCCTCATGTACCTTCATGCCGCAGGTTAAGAGACTACCATGTGGTGGAAGTGGAGGTGACTGGGCCTGATGGTTTCTCAGTACACACAGTGAGGAGGAATCCAGCCAAACTCGGGGCTGTTACTGGCAGCGCAACTTACAGCTCTTTCTGGAATAGTTTACTCAGTAAGTCCTGCCAAACACTTTCTCAGTGATTCTGATGTAAAGCACTCTGTGTCACCCTTTTAAGGTATCTATCATGTCAACATAAACATCTCCAAATTGTACATACTTAAGCACAGCAAACCCCTTAAAGTAGTTATAAACAGGGATGAAATGCTCAGAGCTACTTTTAGACCTGGTGCAGTGGGCCTTGTGTTCCTCGTGTGCAGGACAACGCCTGACCTCATGTGTGCAGAGCGTGCAGGCAGTTCCTGGATGATGAAAGCAGTGGTGATTAAATTTTTTGTTGTAATTTTAAATTCAGGCTCCAAATGATTAATGGCTGGTTTCCGGTGACCGTTGTTGAATCATTTCGCTCTCACTCAATTACTCATATCAATATCTTATGTGTGGTTTAAGTGTTTCATTAATTTTTGCCATAATACACACACACACAGACACAACACTATTACAGTGGTGAGTGCTCATATTAAAGTATAAAACTGTAAAACTAAGTATTCAGTTTTACAGGTTTTTCTATGGCTTTTTATGACGCCAGTAAATGCACATATATTTAATATAGTCATCTCCAGCACATGCACCATGAGAATAAAGGATTTCAAACCCATGATGACACCTGCTGCTCAAAGCTTTCATTTCCAAGGGGAAAAGAAAGAAAGAAAACTGGCTCACAGATGGCCTTAAAGGAAGTTTCTCTCAGTTTATGAACTTGGGAGCTGCACCGAGGCCAAACATAAGATAAATGGGGATTGTATTATGTGTGATAGCATAATAGGTCCTCTTTGAGTGTGGAGTACGGTGTGTATCAGTATGTTTTTCATGTGAAGACTCAGATTTTTACATTCTTGTTTTTCTCAGTTTGCAAAGGTCACGGGGGCAGAGTTTACCTGTGCTGAAACAGCCAAGCACTTTGGAGGATTACCTACAACGGAAGAAGAGGATTCACTGCAACATTTAAGCTGATCTGAATGATTTATGAAGGAGATGCTGTGTAGATAAGATCAGTATGTTACAAAGAAGCAAATCTTTGGATATATTTGTTCCAATAAACTGCACAAACACAATGAAAGAAGAGCCCGTTACTGTTTATAAAACACCAAACAGGTGTATATAGATATTTCAATTTTATTATATGTTCATCTGGTGCAAGATTGTGAGAAATGGAGTGATAGTGACAGTATACGGCTGGCAAAACCATTTCCTTTTTTCCAAAACAAATACTCAAGACATACAGTAGCTTGTTTTTCAGCCCTTTCTCTCTGTCAGGTCGTCTACCTGTAAACACAGTTTCCATCGTAGGACACAGTACCCTTTCCCCTCTGTCTCCACCTCTTTTCATTTCACAAATAAATACTTGCTGAAACAGGCAAACCAAGGAATAATCTCCACACACACAAGCGCGCACAAACACAGCAGGAGTACAGTGGACACACTGTGATACTGTAAGGCACAGAAACAAAATGAGAACACACTCACACACAAGCCGACACTATTTTCAGAACGAGAGCGTTTTCAGCATTATCAGTGTGTGCTCTTCATTTTGTTTCTATTTTGAGAGGTTATGCAAAAAACAAGGCGCGTGAAAGAAAGAAAAGAAAAAAAAATGCTACAAAAAGGTAGAAAGTCAAGTGTGAAGCACTGTATGGTTGTCACAT